GGCATATACATGATAGGAAGGGTCCCACATTGTCGACGTGGTATTAACTAAAATGGTCCTCTAAAAGACAGCATGGGCTTCAGCCTAAGGGGCCTCGGATGGAGGTCCTTATTGTAAAGAGCCTCGGGACAAAGAGCATCGACTTCTCCTCCTCATCCACTTACATAGTGCCTTGACTGAGGGCCTTATCCATACACATAGTGCCTTGGCTGAGAGCCTCATGAGCCTCTATTTTGGGCTTGGACCTTGGCCCATTTCCTACGTGGCCCATTTACGTTTTCCTATATATATGTGATTCATTTCATTTTAAGGTATGTTCTCNCGTGGCCCATTTACGTTTTCCTATATATCTGTGATTCCTTTCATTTTAAGGTATGTTCTCGAACTCTATCCTCTTCCCCTATTCCTCTATTGTACTCATATTTTCCTCGTCTGATAGTTGATTTGACCGTCGGAGTGCAAACGATCACCAAACTTTTTTCTTGATAGGCGGCCTCCTAACAGGGTGTTCAGTGTGCATGTGATGTCCACGTGGAGGGGACGTGGTGGGGATTCTGTTGGCACATTTTTTTGGGTCAACAGAAACTAAGAGGATGAAATGTGGGTTATAGTTTTTTTAAAATTTCGACTACTGCTTCGAGGCCCTAATGAAGTAAGATGTAGCTAAAAAAAATAACACATATCCATAGGCATTGGTGTCGACAATTTTTATTTCCTCTTTTTGGTTTAAAAACTCTTATTTGCCTACGAAAGTCTGACTGTTGAGAACCCAACACAAGCAGCTCGATGAAGCATCCAATTAAAAAAAATTACATTATAAGTATAGATTAATCAAACGGCATAATACAACCTTAATTAGCCACCATTGGGTCATTAACTTCACTTCATGGCTCCATGACCCTTGTTGAGATGGTCATTGCATTCCTGTAGCCTTATGCGAAGAACATGGAGACAAGATATTGATGGTGGCAAATGTTATTGATTAAACCGCAGGATTTGTATTTTTGTCCACTGTGTCAACATTAAAATTTTGATGGAGACGAGATAATGATGGCGGCGTGTTCAAACCAAGGCTAGTGTTCATTTTAGTCGTTTGGTGACCTTTTGCTGACAAGTGAAGTAGGCTTTTACAGGTTAATGTGCACTTTTGTTTGCTTTAGGTGGTAATGAACGTTATCTGTTGATAAGAAATTTGGGAACATCACTTTTGGTTGGGCTTTTGGCTGATGTGAAAATTGCACTTGTGGGCCCCATTATTTCCTGATGGATCAAAAGTGTTTGGGCCTTATAGCTTGGAGATCTTTATGAGGCCAACCCAATTTAGTAAAATTGGAAAGTACATAGAGCATTACTTTTAAAAATTGCATTTCAAAAATCAAAATTATAGCTTATATATATATATACAAAAATCAATGATGATACAACATTTTAATATTAAATAATAATACTATAAAATTCAATTAATTATGTACTCAAACCCCAAACCTTAATATTAATTTCATTCTCATTCTCAATCCATTCTCTCTCTACTCTAATCTACCTCTACTTCTTTCTACCTCGCCGCCGCCGCCAAATACCTAGACATTGGAGCAACACTGCACGAGGCCATGCATTGTCGTCGACAAGGTTTCTCTACGCAGCGTCGCACGCAGAAGCCGCTCGTATCATCGGCGAGGTTTCTTTGTTGCAGTGCCACCTAGAGTGTTTGTAACCAATTATTTGGTTGATTGTAACCATAAATTAGTTAATATTTGACCAATTATTTGGTTTATTGTGATCAATAAATTGGTTAATTTGTAATCAATAAATAATATGTAACCTAAAAAATATAATTGTAACTCATAATTTACTAAATGGTGATTGAGAAATTACTTGTGATCGATTTATTTAATAATTTGTTACTATTAAATAAATTGTAACTTATAAAATTTATGATTTTGTGATCGATGAATAAATTGTGGCCTATACAATTTTTTATTTGTGATCGAGAATAATTTGTGACCTATAAAATTTTTTCTCCATGACAAAAATAAATTGTGATCTATAAATTTTTTTATCTGTGACCCATAAATAATTTGCAGCCAATTAATTCAATAGTTTGTGATAAAATTTTATAGATTTGCGACCTTAATATGTTTAATTAATAAAATATTTTTTAATTAATAACTTCATAAATAGAATTTAATAATATCTGATTTTTGAAATTTTAAACTTTATTTCTTAGTTTTTGTTGACATCCAACCTATGATCTAATTAAATCCATTTTTTATATGCACTTGACTCTTGCTAAATTAATGTCGGATTTGTAAGGCCAACTCGTACTTATGAACGTTTGGTTTGAGAGGATATAATGATTGTAGATTCCTTACACACTGTCACAATATTTAATCAATTACTGACATTCGGAAGGACTTACGTCATCGCCCATCAATTACACCAATCATATGCTATAGCTTCATTTTCTAATTAATTCATTAATTCTTGGGAACCCCATTTAAGGTCGGCTTCATGATAACCTGATATAGCCGACCTTAGCAACCAATGGGGTTATGCCATTGGCGTACTTTCCCAGTTCAGCACTATATGTTGATTTGACAGCAACCAATCAGGACTTAAGCCATTAACACAAGTTTTCAGCTCAGTACTATTGTTAAAAAGACATGAATATGAAAGATACATGCCCATCATTTCCTATAAAAAGGAGGACAATATCCTTAGAAAGAGGGAGAGAAAATAAGCTCAACAACTTCATATTTCAAATATCTCATTTGATAAAATAAAAAACACTTGTAGTTTGTAAGTAGTTATATCAATAAAAATCCTTATTTACACTTGAATTTGGCTTGAATTTTGTTTATACAATTTTCGACGTCAACAATTTTAAATTTGATCATAGTTAAAATCTTAGATATGATTTTTTTTCGTTGGAAAAAATATTTGATAGACTTTGGTGGAGTTATGTCAAGTATTCTATGTTCAACTAGGACTGCGGATTTACTTTATATGAGCCCATGGCTTTCCATCTCATTTATAGTGTTCAAGCCCTTTGGGAACTTCAATGGACTTCTACTAATTCTTTTTATGGGCTGTCTTTTAGGGTTATGAGCTTTATTTAGCTTGGGGTTCTTGCTTTTACCATTTGGACTGTCAATTTGTTGCTAGCTATTTTTATCTATTTCTCTTTCACTATAATACCTCTCAAGTATAAATTAACTAGTATTTGTAGAAGCACAATTCTATAATGGGCAACTTTTTCTCCCTAATTTTCAATTCACGATATATGTTAATTTTTTTAGATAAGCAAGAATAATGTAGATTTTTTTCTTATGATTTTTGTTCTATGACTCTTCACATAAGAAAATTCTAGCTACAAATCTCACAAGGAGGGACGAAGTAAATCCAGCTTATCAAAGAACAAGAAGTTTGATTCTTGTGTCCAACAACAAGTAATTATACGACAAATAATTTTTTCCTTTACTTTTTCTCTAATTATTTTAGTTTCTATTTACTTTCAGGGAGGAACCAAAAATTTGGTTTAGTGAGCTCATAGTATACATGTCTATCTCAAGAATATAATAATGTTTAACTCAGACCCTATTTCTAATTTGGTTGATTAAAAATAAGGCCTCATTGATTTTTATAGTTTACTTCCTTTAAATGAATGTTGGAGATTGATCTTGTTTTATGATTCAGATTTTTTCTATATTATATTTTGTAGAAATGTTTATATGAACTTTTACTCAACTATTACAAGTTTCTTATATCTTCTTAAATGGGACATTTAGTTACCAAATTCTTTTCATATATCTTCTTTATTCTAGAATTTCAACTATTTTTCTTTTATATTTCTAAAGTCTTTCGTAAATCTCTATAAAGATTTATTTATACAATGGTTACAACATTCAAATCACAACTAAATACGATTGTAATAGAAAATTAGGTCACAATCATCAAATAACTTAACATCAATTAGGTCATGATCAATGAAAAAATCAAGTCAAATTACAAAATAATCGAAAAACAAATTAGTCACAAGAAGAAAATGTCACCATACAAAATCAGATTGCAATCATGTAATAATTGAATAACAATTCGAATTTTTTTTTTTAACATATTGAAAATTAGAACCGACCAAATAAATTTGAATACAACTTCTCTATTAACTCAAATTTCCGTAAACATTGTATTAAACGGAAAAATAAAAATAAATAATGAATTGATCTACCTTCTTAGAATATATTTTCCACCATTTAGGGTTTTCCTAAATTATGAGATTTAGTTCTTTTCTTTTATCAACCTTATGTTCATTCTTCGAATGAGATCCCCGGTCTACACTCCTTGTTACCATCATTTGTTGGGTTTGTATGGATTTGAGGTTTAATAGAAGCTTGACCTATAAAATAATTTATGAAATTATGAAATGAGGAAAATAGATTCAACACTTCCATCCTCGATGAAGGCTTCGAATCTCTACTCTCTCTCAACGAATGTGATAGAATCGCTTGGACAAGAGCATCGAACTTCTTTCTCAAGGGATATGGTAGAAGAAGAAGGAAATTTGAAAATTTTGGAACAATTTCTGTCTCTCCCACTATTGATGATAATGTGTGTAAGTAATGCACAATTAGTTATTTATTAATAATTTTATATTTAATATTTTAATTTAAAAATTTAAAATAACTTGATTTTTGAAATAATAAACTCAAAACTAGATTATTGAAATATAAAGTGAAAATTCAGGATATGCGTAAGTGGAAATTACAATTTCAAAAATCAAATTTAGAATTTATTTATACAAAAAAGGCGATAATTTCACGTTTTAATATTAATAATGTTATTATAAAATTAAATTAATCTATATACACACCCTACCTCCATCCACCCCACCATTCACCCCCTAACCCTAATCATTTTCCTATTTTCCCCCCTCTTTCTCCCTCTCTCCCTACACACACACCCACACCATACAACACACCTTGAACGCACCGTCGATGCGACACTCACGACGTTGCCGCCATAGCAGCGCCACTCTGAAATCGCGCCACTACAGCGACATCGCCTCTCAGAATAGCGTCGCTCGACATTGTTGCGAAGTGACGATGGCATCGTCTGCGCACATCGTCGCTGCAACGATGCTGCCATTGGTGGTGTTTGAACATCCCAAGTCCACTAGGCCCACTACAATTGGTGTTTACGGTAGTTGAACAGTGATTTTGAGATAGTGTTTGTAGTTGGTGGTGCAAGAGTGGAGGTAATAATGATGTTGGCTATGCTGATGGTGGCAGTAGTATTATGTGGGATGGTGGTGGTAGCAATAGGGAAGACAATTCGAACTGTTAAAATCGAAAATCGCGATTAATCGAACCGAATGAAGAAAAAAAATCGAACCAATTGTGCAATGGGGTGATTATGATTTTGATTTTATTAAACCACTTCATTTAGGGGTGAGTATGTTATTTATCGATGGTGCCCCGAATCGAACCGGTTACCCGTTAAAAAATATTATTTGGACAATTGGGCTTTCCATTATTCTTTCTCAAAATTAATTATGCAATTTTGACAATTGGGCTTCCCAAATTTCTGGCCCAATTAACATTATGTAAATTAAAACCCAGCCCACTGCCCAGTTAGCCCAATTTCAATTACAGCTTACAGGCCACACACGTTAAATTAAAACCCAGGTTTAGGTTTACAATCTCCAGACTCCACTTCTCTAAGTTCTCTTCTACTCAAATCCGTCGCCACCCTCGCCAGTCGCCTGTTCCGGGTATGATATAGTTTCATGTTTCTTGAGT